ATTAAACTATTAATCAAAGACCAACTTATAAGAGTGAAAGAGCAAACAGATTTAGAGAAGTATCCTTGTCCAATGAAGTATTCTTTTTTTTTTTTTTTTGGCTTTTTCCTTTTTATCAGTACCGGGGATCGAATTCACGACTGCCTGCTTGCAAGGCAGGTGCTTATGCCGCTGAGCTAATCCTCCAGCCCCCAATGAAGTATTCTTAATAAAATATATAAAGAACTACAAATCTATAAGGAAAAACCCCTCAAATTTAAAGGCAAGCAATTTAAGCCAGGCATGGTGGTGCATCCTGTAATCTCAGTACCTGAGAGGCTGAGGCAGGAGGATCATTGTAAGTTCAACACCAGCCAAGCCTACAAAGTAAGCTCAAAGCCTGCCTGAACTGCATAGTGAGATCCTGTCTCAAAAAGACAAAACAAGCAATTCATAAAAAGCCCCCAAATGGCCAATACTTGTATGAATCAATGCTCAGTATTACTGCTCGTGTTTGAGAAGGCCACTAAGTATGTTTTGTTCATAAAGACAACAACCTGCACATCATTTAACCACAGAATATATAGATCGTAGTATATTTTTTGGGACACTACAGAGCAACAGAAAAGTGTACTGTTGCATCATGCAATTACATGGAAATCTCATAAAAGCTAGGAATATAAATCTCAAAAAGCTAGGGATCCCATTCAATCCAGATATTCCCCTTCTATGTATCTTCCCAGAAGAATTAAAAACATCATACCACAGCAATATGTGTGCACCCATATTTACATGAAAATCTCGTAATTCTGAGTGGTAGAAATAAAACACTAGAAGTTTGATTAAGTACAATGTCGGGTTAAATTAATCTATGGTACTAAAAGCCAAAATTGTATCTATATTTGGGGGTGCATTTTGTTTACTTCTGTAGGTGTTTAAAGGGGGAAAAGAAAGACATTGAACATGAGTAATGTTTTTGTAAGTATGTATGTGCATTTTTACACCTAGGATTTGAACAATTCAATGCATGTTATACTTCAGTATACAGTACTGTATATATATGAAAATTTCAGACTGGCCACTGAAAATATCAAATTTACCAGTTTGGTATCATTAAGTATCCTTAGCATCCAGATTGTAGTCTTGAAATGTTATTTTCCATAAAAGGAAACCAGGATTTCTTGGTGGAATGACTGATTCTAGGACTGAAGCAGAAATTGTATGAGATAGAACTAGACCACCCTATTTTATAAGACATCAAGTAAACTGAGAATGTCTTGTCAGAAATACTCCGAATCAGTAAAAAACTGGCATCTCATCTTATTAAAAAGGTTTTACACATCAAAGTAAATCACCAACAGAGTGAAAAGACAGCCAATAGAGTGGGAAAAAAGTATAACCATTTGTCCCTCAGAGGACTTATATCTAGAACATATAAAGAATTGAAAATAGTCAGACCTCCCCCCAATTCAAAGATCCAATCCAAAAATGGGCATCTGAGATGAATATACACTACTCAGATGAAGGAACACAAGTGGAAAATAATAAATATATGAAAAAATGTTCAACATCATTGGTCATTAGTGAGATGCAAATTAAAACCACACTACGATTCTTTCTCACCCCAGAAAGAATGGCTGTCATTGAAAAATCAGCCAATAATATGCTACAGGTGCTATGGTAAGAAAAAAAAAAGTAACCTTTCTCCACTATGGATGGGAGTGTCAAATGGTGCAACCACTATGGAAGTCAGTGGAAATTCCTCAAAAAGCTAGGACTAGCGATCCCATTCGATCCAGGTATTACCCTTCTATATATCTTCCCAGAAGAATTGAAAACATACCATAGCAATATATGTGCATCCATAGCAGCACAATTTGTAATAGCTAAATCATGAAAACAGTCCAAATGCCCATTATCTGAAGAATGGATGAAAAAGATGTGATATTTTTAATTACTCATCCATAAAGGATAAACGTGAGACTTTTATAGGTAAATGGATACAACTTGAGACCATAGTTGTAAGTGAAATAAACCAGACTCAAATGTGTAAGCATCGTATTGTCTCCTTGATGTGAAGCATTGAAAGAGTAAATAAGTTATAGAATGTACAGTAGATTTTGTGAAATGAGAATTGTTTAAAGGGAGAAAAGAGCCACAAGATGAAGGGAGGGAAGGAGGAGGGGGAAACGGAGAAAAATGCAAGGTAGCTATATTGTTAGTATCTCCTAGTTCATTGAAAAGGGAAGTTTGCGCTAATACTGATTGGAGAATTTTTTATGCCCATATCTTGTACTCTCAGTAACTACTTTGAAGATGACAATATGTAATGTATTAACTTTTGTTATTCTATTGTTATGAAGTTCTGTTTTATCTTTTTTCAATAAAATTTTTTTAAAGCACTCAGAATCCAATTCGATGCCTGGGAAGCACGAGGTCCTGAGTTCAATTCCTGGTACAAAAAAATCCAATTTGAAGAGACTCCCACTGGCCAAAAATGGATCATTTTGATAAAGAAACAAGCTTTTATTTTATTTTATTTTTTTTGGTACCAGGAATCAAAGTCATGACCTCATGCTTGCCAGGCAGGTGCAATGTCACTGAGCTACATCCCCGGCTCAAGAAGCAAACATTTAAATTGCCTCTCCTTTCCAAACCTACCAATAGGTAAACTAATTGAAAATAAAATTTCTTTTTATTGGAGTACTGTAATAAGTGCAAGAAGAATGATTGATTAGAATGTCACTGTCTTAGAATCCTTAATGAATTAATAGCTCTGGGCACTGAATATCAGCACTTCCTTTCAAGAAGAAATAACCAAGTATGCGTTCTTCTGATGAAAAAACATGAGATTTTTTTTTTTTAATCGATACCAGGGATCGAACTCATGACCACGCACTTGCAAGGCAGGCGCTTACGTCGCTGAGCTAAATCCCCAGCCCCCTAAAACATGAGATTTTTAAAGAAATCTTTCTCAAAGTCAGAAACTGATCATCTTATAGATTCAGCTACCAATGTACAGAAGATAGAGGCCAGAGGAATGTTCTACTACATTAACAGGTATGATCAACATATCCAGACTGTGAGATACTGCAAGATTATTGATCTGGTTTCTTCAAAAACACCTGATAAGCACTGATAAGCAATGATAGCAAAGTTACTAGGCACAATCTTAATACACAAAAATTACTTTTCCATAGATCATCAGTAGATAACTGGAATTTGAAATTTAGAAGCATGCCATTTATAGAAGCATCAAAACATGAACTACCTAAATACAAGTCTTAAAAATTTTAGAAGATCTATGGAGAAAACTGAAAAACACTAAAAAAAGGTATCAGATTTTAATAAATGGTGAGGTATTACATATTCATAGGAAGACTCAGTTTTAAGATGTTATTTTGTTTCCTACTTGGTTTCTAGATTCACCACAGTCCTATCAGAATACTACAAAGTTATTTTGTGGATATTGACAATTTCTTTCAAAAGTTAAATGCAAAAGCAGAAGACCCAGAAAAGCCAGCACAATACAAGGGCTGGCATTATCCTACTTTGAGACTTGATATATAGTTGCAAATAATCAAGGTGATGTATTGGTAAAACGGTAGACAAATGGATTAATGGAACAGAGAGGAAGACCTGGAAATAAAATCACCCAAATATAGTCAGCTGATCTTTGACAGAGGAGCAAAAAGAATTCAATGAAGAAATATTTTCAACAAATGATGTTGGAACAATCTGACATCTGTATGAAGAAAAAAATCTGCGTGGGTTAATCTTACACCTTTCACAAAATTCACCTGAAAATGGCATATACTTAAAACCAAAAACAAAACTGGGAGAAAACATAGATGTAGATTAGGAATTTCAGTTCATTGCTGATGGGTATCAAGAATCATACCTCTGCTTGGGAAGACTGGTGGTTTCTTATAAAGGTAAATGTACACAGTCTAGCACTCACACTCCTAGGTACACCCAAGGAAGTAGAAAACTTACACCTGCACACAAATGTTTATAGCAGCAGCATGCATAATCACCCCATGGTGGATGCAACCAAGATGTCAGCAATAGGTGAAATGTTTTTAAACAACTGGTAACAGCCGTGCAGTGGAATACTGAGTGAAAAGTAGTGATTTGTCAGGCTGTAAAAAGACAAACTTGCAATGTATATTACTAACTTTAAAAGCAAATCTTATCAACCAATGATTCTAATCATTTGATATCCTTGAAAAGCCAAACTATAGAGATATTTAAAACATCAGGGGAGCTAGGTGAGGTGGTACACACCTGTAATTCCAGCACTGTAGAAGCAAAAGCAGGAGGATGGCTGTGAGTTTGAGGTCAGACAGGGCTACAAAGTGAGTTCAAGGCCAGCCTGAACTGCCTAGTGAAACCTTGTCTCAAACACACACACACACACAAACACACACACATACACACAGAAAAACAAACCAAATTAGCTGACCAGAGATCAATAGAACAATATATGCTTCAAAGAATTTTATACAGAAGAACTGAATATATGCCTACAAAGAATTTTATACACAGAGGCTTAAACCAGGTAAATTCCTAATAGGTATTGGGTGCCACTGTAATGTTATTCCTTACTGATTTTTGTTTGGCCAAAAAGTACAGAGAAAACACGGTGAGGCAACACATATCATACTGAGACAATGAAAACCTCCCTGGCATTGCCCAGTATCAGTGCACATCTTGATACTGAGCTGAGTCATGGAGGTGATGTGGAATCACTAGAATATGCTTTGTGTTTTAGTAGAATAGCTTGCCATAGCACAACTCAAGAATGCAACAAAAAAGTGAAAGATTTCCACTCCTGTTGAAGTTTTATATAAGGGCTTTCCTTTGGACCAGGAATCAAACTCCGGACTTCCTGCCTGCCCTAAGCTGTATACCCAGTCCCTTGTGTCAGAATTTGCCAAGTGCCTTAACTATTATGGGCTGCGATGTAAAGGAGCCCCAGATTACATGTACCTGAAGCAGCTACTTTGCATCCTTTTCAGGACCTTGAATAACCAATCTGACTACACCTATGACTGGGCAGTGTGCAAGCAGTATGGCAGCAGCCTCTTCCGGTGTGAGAGTCAGCAGGTCCAACCCCTGCCACCTTCTAAGCAGGCAGTGAGTACCAGAAGAAGCAGAGTGGATGATCAGGGCCGCACTGGTTTCTCCCCAGATCTAGAATGTTAGTTCAGTGTGCCCCAGCCAGTGCTAGTGATAAGAGGTTCATCAGGACAGCCATATACTTGGCATAAAGAACTTAACTTCAGTGGGAACTGACTCGGCAGCATCTTTGGAGTTGTTGCCACTATAATTGTTAAATTTTAACTGAGACAGTTAAAACATGGCATCCGTCTTTTTATTGTAGTTTTTTCAAGTGGAAAAGTTAAATGGTTGATACATAATAGGTGGAGAAATTGTGCATATACTAATTTTTTGTTAAAACCCTTTATTTTGAAATCCTGTTTAAGGATCTCATTTTAGAAGAATGGCATGAATAGTCTTCAATCACAGCTGTGATGGTTGTAAGTGTTCACAGTTGTGCATTCTTAGGATTTTTCCATCCATGGGGTTGCAGGTTGTTCACTTAAAACATCCTTTAAATGGTTGACTTCTGTTTGCAAGCCATCTGATATGGTAGTAAAGACTCCAGTGTTTAAGTAGTGAAAGACTATTTACCTGTGCTAGAAACAATAAGCATCTAAAGTGAACATTTAAAATTTTAGTGACTACTAGCTTATCCTTAGGACTCTTCCTTAATTCTGTAATGTTGTTGGTTTTAAAAAAAAAAAAAGAGCATATTTGTCACAGAAATTTAGTTAACATCTTACAAGTGAATATGCATGTATGTTGCTTACATATATGATTGCTTAGATATGTAAACATCTATATGAGCTGGGATTTTTTTATTTTGAAATGGGGACTTGTTTACAAGCTTACTAAAAGCTAAAAAAAAAAGAGATCAGGAGTTCATTAGGAGAAAGCATAGAGTGAATAGGTGAAGCACAGGCGATTCTTATGGTATTAAACTATAGTGATGGATACATGGCATCATGTATTTGTCAAGAGCCATAAAACTAACATGTCAAATTAGTTTATTCTGACAAATGTACCACAACTTAATACAGAGAACTCTGGGTGGGTATATATATGGTAACTATACTCTGTATTCTTATTTTAAAGAGAAGATAATCAAATGTTAAAAAGATGTTAAAATCATGCACGTAGCTAAGCATGATAGTAGAGGCCTGTAATCCCAGCACTCTGGGTGGTTGGGATAGCAGGATCTCAAATTTAAACCCAGTCTGGGCAATTTAGTGACTTAGCAAAAACTTGTCTCAAAAAATGAGAAAAGGCCAGGGGCATAGTTCATTGTGAACGCCTTGGATTCCCCTGTGCCACCAAATTAAAATGAAAGCAAAATGTATGTGCAAAACTTAGATATTTTACAAGATATAAAAAAGTAATAGGAAAGAAAGAACAGGAAATAACACATACAGTATCATAATCAGTGATTGAAGAGTCACATGATTTTCTCCAAGATGGAAATAAGCCAAAGATATCTTTCTTTTTTTTATTTTTTTATTTTTATTTTTTTAAGACTAGTCAAGTGTGGTAGTGAGAAGGGGGGAAAGAGTAGAACAAGGAGTTCAATCTGTACTGACTGTGAACAGTCAATTGAGGTAACTCACTACCTTCGGACCAGCCCCAAAGATATCTGTCATTACCAGTTCTGTTTATCATTATATTAAAGTAGATAATGGCTACTACTCGTAAGGCAAGAAAAAAATAGCGAAAAGAAGAAAACTGTCATTATTCAAAGTAAATTGATTTTTTGGTTATTGATACTGGGGATTGAACTCAGGGCTTTTGCACTGAGCTACTTTGTCAGAGCTTTTAAATTTTTTAAATTTTGAGTCAGGGTCTTGCTGAGATGCTAGGTTGCCCAGGCTGGGTCAAACTGTCGGTCATCTTACCCCAGTCTCCCCAACTTTCTGGGCCAGTATAAACTGATTTTATATGTAGAAAATTATTAGAGGGAATAGATGAGTTTAGAAATGTTGCTGGATAGGACATCTATATGAAAATTATATATTAGCAGCAGTTAGAAAATGACATTTAAAATACTTCATTTAAATAACAAATAACATGGGCAGGGTTCTAGCTCAGCAGTGTAAGTGCCTGCTTGGCAAACCTGAGGTCCTGAGTTTGATCCCTGGCACCAATCAATCAATAAATAAATAAAAAGAGGGAAAATAACTAAAGATGAGCAAGGTGTCTGTGTAAAATAGTATAACATTTATTGTGAAAAATTAAAGGAGACCTGAAAAAGGTAATGGAACGTACTATTTCTGAATTCAGAGACTTAGTATTGTAAAATCTCAGTTCCCTTCAAATTTTCTTTAAGTTTAATAGTATCCTACTAAAGGTTCCAGGAAGAGAGAGAGAGTGTATGTGTGTGTATCTGTGTTTGTGTGTGTGTGTGTGTGCGTGTGCGCGCGTGTGTGTGTGTGTGCGTGTGTGTGTGCGTGTGCGTGTGTGTGTGTGTGTGTGTGTGTGTGTGAAATGATATGCCGATTCTGAGATGTAAACGGATATTCAAAAATTCAAGAATAATCAAGACTGGCTTGATGAAGAACAACAAAATTGAAAGATCTTACATTTTCAGACTTCAGAATTTACTGGGAAGCTTCATAATTAAAACAGGACCTTCCTGGTACAAAAATAGACAGACTAATGGAACACAATAGAAACTCTAGAAGCTCAGCAGCACTTTGGGTCACATACTCATTCTCTCCATGATTCTGGTAGCAAACTGAACTGGACAAGAGTTGAATCAAGGGGGCTGAGGATTTAGCTCAGCGGCATAAGCTCCTTCCTTGCAAGCAGGCAGTCGTGAGTTCAATCCCCGGTACCGATAAAAAGGAAAAAGACAAAAAAAGAAGTTAAATGAAGTTTCCCCATAAAGTCAACACTGAGCCTAAGCACTGAATTTGATTCAGTTCTCATTCATCTCGATCTGTGCACTGAACGACTCAAGTTCATGAATTGAGGTACCACTGTATATTTAACTGTACACTCCTCTGTAGAGTATGACCTCAAGGTCTATTGTGATATGTAACCTGTAAAAATGTGGTTATCACTTTTGGGGTAGGAAGTAATTTTCAAGGAAAAAAATGTTTTGGAAGGACCAGAGCTGTTTCTCACTGTATTAGGTCTCTGTTTCTATACCCCAGGCTTTGTTATTCAGGACATTAATTTTATTCATCAAAACAAAGCAAGAGTTAGGAATTGACTAATGCTGCATTTTGGCAGTCAGAAGTATCGTCATGCTTATTTATGCAAATTCAGTTACATTCAGTTTTAGGGTATGTATGTCTAGGAATATTATGTAAATACTGAAGACAGTTTGCTAAAATGAAACCCATTAAACTATATAACCAATATGTACCAATAAAAAATGTAAAAAAGTTGATAAAATTTGAGGCAATATAGGTTTTCATTCAAGAACCATAAAACTGAGTGGAAAGCATGAGATGAGAAACATTTCTATTTCACTTGGTTTCTGTATGTGTCTCATTGTGTGTTATCATTTCACTTCAATTGGTGTGATTCTGTGTTTTCCAAAATACCGTGTTTACAAAATAAAAAGTACTTCTGGTAGTAACAATAAAGGAAGTAGCATCTAGTCAAGCTGGGCAGGAGACTGTTATGTAAACTTTTCTAGGCAGTACACTAGGGTTCAAATCCTAGCTCAACCCTCCCTATCTATGTTGCTTGGTCAGATAATATAATTCTTGTGCTCAGTGTCCTTAACTGTAAAATGGAGATACAGTAATAATGACACCAACTTGTTATGACAATAAATGACTAATACATAAACCATCAGTGGCACAGAGTAAATACATCAGCAATGTTTATTATTGTTATTGCTTGGAGATGGCACAAGGCAGTGCATCGGGAAACTCCTTATTCAGTATCATACATTATATTTTAGAACCCCATCGCAGCATGAAATATAATTTTACTCTACATGATATGGAGCAGTCATATGGCATGGAAATGGCTATGGGCAGGCAGGCCTGTGGATTGGTCAAGGTGTATTACCATAGAGGCAATGCAGGCATGCGAATTCCCTGAAATGTGTTTGCTACTGTGTATTTCAGCTATCAGTATTTTGTTATGCACTGTATTCCCTTTTTACTAGAGCCTGTATTATAGAATGGCATCGACAGAGTTTTAGTCTCATGACATTACCATCAGACTCTGATCCAGTTTCAGGGTTCTGGTTTTTTTTTTTTTTTTTTTTTTTTTGGTACCAGGGATCCAAGGATCCAACTTACAACCTTGTGCTTGCCAGGCAGGCTCTCACGCTGCTGAGCTAAATCCCCAGCCCCCAAGTTTCAGGGTTCTGTTATCCATCACCAAGCCATGAGTATTTAACTTATCCTGGTAGTTAGTGAGCTCAGGGAATTTTGAGGAACTTTAGAGTGGCTTCTTGCCAGTTTACCCTTTTTCTCCCTGTACACAGAGACACAGGTTCTCTTATTTACCTTCCAGGACTGCCAGAATTGAAACGCAGAATTGCCCCTGACCTCCAGCCCACTGCCTCCTTCTCCAGAAAAGCTGCTTTTGGTTTCAGCCACCGCTCAGCAGCACTGCTTAGGGCGCTCTCAGAGGCTCCTGGTCTGTGTTGGATTGTTGGGACTCACTCAAGAGACCCCAGCTGTGCTGGCAGCTGCTGTTTCTCTGAGAGCCTCACTGTTGTCAGCCAGGTTTTTGTTGGCTTCTCTTTTCTTTCCCCTCCTCCCCCAGCTTTCTCATGCTCTATGGCCTGTTGGCTTTTGCTCAGGAAATAGGGTCCCTTACAGACTCTGCTTGCTCCAGGTGTGCAGATACATCCCACCAAATGGGTTCTGTCATTTGGTTTCTTTTGTCCATGTTATCTGAAGCTCAAACATCTGAACTGGTTGAGTGCCTCCAAAAGAAGGCTTTGAGGAATATGTTGGAGATATTGGAAGGATTTGGTTATCAGCAAGGCTTGGTAGAGGCTTGGTAGGTCTTAATGCAGAACTGCTTAGGATCACTTTCCTATGCTCATTTCTTAAAACCAAGGAAATAAAAGATTAATGAGTTCTATTTTAAGAGAATTTGTATGGTATGCCAAACAGCTTGTTAATGCACAAACATTGTCTATTTCATAGTTGTGATTTGCACTTGTATGTTGCTAGTTGAGGAATTTTGAAAGACTTACATATCCGGATGACACCTTAGACTTTATCTTTCAAGTTATAATTATACTAAAATATTAACAATATCTTTTTTGTGTGTTTTTCCCTTTTTTTCTAGAATATTTTCCTTCTTGGATATAGTAACTTTGTGCCGATGTGCACAGATTTCAAAGGTAGCGTATTCTCTAGATTTCTAATAAATACCAAGTTTCATTGGAATAAGGAGGAGTTTTAATTCAAATTAAGTGTTAAAATGTCATTAACTTTTGTATTATAATTTAATGTTATAATTTTGTAATTGAGTAACTTAATATGTTTTACTCAAGAGTAAAAGTTTAGAAACACAAAGGTTGCAAATAGAATTGTTTTTTTTTTTTTTTTTAGCAGACTCAGTAAAGTTTCCTCTTTCACCTCCACTCCTTGTTCTTTTTTCTCCTACTATCCAGGCTTGGAACATCTTAGCCCTAGATGGCAGCAACTGGCAAAGAATAGATCTTTTTAACTTTCAAACAGACGTAGAGGTAAGTTAGTTAATTTTGTCTAGAGGGCTTTTCAAACATAAGTAAATACTGTGTCTATCCTGCCTTTTTACTACATTTTAAATTTTTTTTCTTTTTTAGTGTATGTGCTGCCGAGGCAAGCACATAGTTTTTTTTTTGTGTGTGTGTGTGTGTGTTTTTTTTTTTTTCTTTTCAATGAGCGAGGTCTCACTATGTAGTTCAGGTTGGCTTTCGACTCACTATATAACCAAAGCTGGCCTTGAACTCATAGGAATCTTCCTGCCTCGGCCTCCCGAGTGTTAGGATATCAGCCATGTACCACTGAACCGAACCTGTATTTTAGATTTACTGTTAAAGGGTTTTGTTTTGTTTTGTTTTGTTTTGTTTTGAGACAGGATCTCACTTGGTAGTTCAGACTGGCCTCAAACTCAAAGCAATCCTCTTCCCTCAGCCCAAGAGTGCTAGGATTACAGGGGTATGTGCCACCATGCCCGAGTGTTAAAATGTTTAGGCAGAACAGAAGAGAAGAAAATCTGGACGATACTTGTGTATATCAAGACCAAATTCCCCTCGTCTTTTATTTTTGTGCTGTGTCAGTGATAGCTTTTCCCATTGTTCATGCTCATAATCTGAGTTTTACCACTCACCACTTGAAAGTCTTGCAGCTCTGTCCTTGACACTTAACCTTACATAGCCCTTTGTAGGAGATGTGAAAAATATTCACTGATCTGAATGACATGGAAATTGTGATCAGCATTAAGAATAGGGAAATGGCCTTAAGTACAGGCGTAGGACTGAGGCTCCAGCTTGGTTACTTATGCTATATATCTCTCAGGCCTCTGTTTAATTACCTGAAAAATAAAGAATCTTCAAAACCCTTTCTAATTCCAGAATTCTGCTGTATAAGGTGTGGTCAAAAAATATAGTATGTGTTTAAGACAAACATTTCTTCACTTTGAACATACTTATCCCATTGTTCTTGCCACTTCCTGCATCTTTAGTTGAGCTCTGTGGCTGCCTTGTGTCCTAAATTGATTCAAAACATTTATCTTTTGTGGGCATCTTGGCTTTGGGAAGACTCAGGAGTCACAGTGTCGGATCCAGTGAATGAGGTACACTGTGATGGCTTTATAAGTCTGCCTTTCCATTGGATGCCCTTGGCAGCAGTGCTATCATACTTTTCATCATATTGTGTAAAGGCACTCATGAAAGAGGACTTACAGAACTGTTTTAGAAAAATTATAAGAATGATGGGATAGGCGAATGTGTTCAAGGTAGTGTTGGGGGAGTGTTTTGAGGGGAATTAATGGCATTGTATCTTTTAATGTAATAAATGTTTAAAAATTTTAAACATTCAACATATATTTTGATCACCCCTTGTATTTATCTGGAAACATATGTTTGAATTTAAGAGTGGTAAACACAGGCAGATGAATAAAGTTTATCTTAAAGTAACTTTATGACATTCACAGCAGAGCTATAATTCCCTGTGTCTCATTGCTGGGTGACTTGAATCACTGGTGGTACATGTATGAGTATGCTATCAGGTAGCTTCAATTACTGGTGGTATAAATAGGTCTAATCATTGTTTTGTTCTTTTTTCTGCTAAAATTGTAGGACAGTCAGGCATGTACCTCTGATGGTTTGAGTGAGCAGAAACATGTTGATATTAAATACCATGTTTGTAATCAAAAAGGTTGAGAGTAATAAAAAGCATTGCACAGAATAGTTGCCAAAAGTGCTGATTTGAGGGTGTTGAGACACCAGTTTGTTCCTTCTCTAGTGTTAGTAAAACATTATTCCTTTCCCATTTAGCCGATTTATTTACTGCAGTCCATTTCAGTTGTTATTGTTGTATATATGTCAAATATTTTACTGCGGTACATATTTTGTGTCTTTTTTTTTAATAAGGAAATGGTTATGTTTAACAATCACATAAATCCAAGTGATTTCATCTTTCTTACTTAATTGGGCGGAACTGGAAGAACCAATGGCCTGTGGTGGAACCCCTCGCCCTTGCTGTGTGAAAGTCTGTGAAAGTCTGGTCTGTTTTAATCCAGTGAAGGCGCTATGTACAGCAAGTGCACAGCAAGCACTGTCTTTGAATTTCATGTTATTCTCCTGCTAGGTAGGCAGCATGAGAAAGTGATGGTTTGTTTAACTTCTCCCTCCAAGGGTCGAGTAGTGGAAAATATCTCAAAGCGATGTGGTGGATTCCTGAGGAAGCTCAGCTTGCGAGGCTGCATTGGTGTGGGGGATTCCTCCTTGAAGTAAGTGACACCCACATCTACCCACTCTGTCACAGGAGCTTGTAGCTGACGTTTTTGTGAGGAAAAAAAATAAATGAAGCATATCATAAGCTTTTTTCCATTCCTTTTGTGACAGTTTGTGTAGAGTAATAAGACAACTATGACTTGAATAATAGGTGAGCTCCACTGTGAGGGATGCAGACTTGGGACAGACTGCACCTGGCTGAGTGTCATTCATCTCCCCTGTCAAGCAGAGCAGTTACACTTCATGCACAGGACTGCTGTGAAGGTCACATGAAGCAACATGTGTGAAGTGCTTGGCACATAGTAATATTGTAATATGTGTACACCTCTTGCTGTTCCCTTCTTTACTTGCACATTTTCCTGATGTTGTATAACATTATACTATAAAAAAATACTTTCAAAAATTACTTTTCTGTAAGGTAGAATTTTGCTTACTCCTAATGGGACATGATTATTACATGCATTTTATTATAGTTAGCAGTATCCCTCCCTGGCCAACTAGATACAAATCTCTCCTTACTGAATAGCTTTTTTGGGGGGCGGGGGGGGGATTGAACTCACAACCTCACGCTTGCTAGGCAGAGCTGTATCACTGGCCCTGGATAGCTATTGGATGTTATCAAACCACTATTAAGAACATGTTCTTTAAGATTTTTGAAGATAGACTGCAGCCCTTCCAGGGGGAGAACCAGCAATAGCTCCTAAGATCCACGCCATGTTGGAACTTAGGACGCTGGGAAGCAAAGCAAGCACCTCCCTTCCCTGATGGGATTAAGGAGCACAGGAACAGAGGGACTGGTGCAAGATCCCAGTCAAAAGTTACTGAATTACAGAGGAAATAAGGAAAGTCCACAGCACCAGAGTGACTTCTTTCTTCTCCACAGCTAATCTCTTCTAAATTTCCCTGAAGAGGTGAAATTCTCCTATCCACTCATCTCACTGTAAACTCAGGAAATGTCGCAAAAAAAAAAAAAAAAGATTTTTGAAAATAGACAAGGTTAGAACCTTTATGTCCTTATTACAGTGGCCTCTAGTATTAGTTCTGAGTTTGGTTAGATTAGAATATGACCCTCGGAAGCTTAGACCAGACCTACATATTACCATAGTGTACATCCTCTGCAGACCTCCAGGAGGAGAGTGCTATACATAGCAAATGCAAACAGTAGGGTTTGTAACTCAAATATCTGCTACACCATTGCCGAGAAATTTAGCTCAGCATTTTTAAGGATCAAAACATTTTAAATGCTGTGGAACAAAGGATTTCATTCTTTTTAATTAAGAAATTTGGACCATTATACTAGATTTTTTTTTTTTTTTTTGCTGCTTCAGATTCTGTAAACCAATGAAATGAGTTGATTCCACCTTAAGAGAAGCTTAAATATAACAGTAGGTCCTAAGAAAATTTATTAACTACCATACTGTTTCATTAACTGCCACACTGTGATAATTACTTTAAATGTACAATAAGGTAATCTTTAAATTGGAAGTGGTCTTTTTTGTTGTTGTTGTTGTTGTTTTTTTCATTTTTCATTTTTATTGGTACCAGGGATCGAACTCACGACTGCTTGCTTGCAAGGCAGGCGCTTATGCCACTGAGCTAAATCCCCAGCCCCTAATTGGAAGTGGTCTTATACATAACAAATGAACAGAATTCCAAATTTTTGAAACAGGTGAAAAAAAATATATATTGCAGGGATATATATATATTTAAGAAAAAAATTATAATAACATAAATCTACTAATGGTTCCATTAAAGAAATTGAATGCAAAGATACAATATGTCAAGAGAAGATGTGAAATACAGGTTTTGTTTTTTTTTTTTTGGAAATCAGAATAAAACCTTATCTACTAGCAAAACAGTCTTTTGAATCCAGGAATGTTTACTGGTTTTAAGCAAAAATCTGTAATAATTGTTAACTATCTATGCATTTTTAAATGTGTAGAATACATTATCATGAGACGTAAATAAAGTCACAAAGTTATGATTTAGAAGAAATTTTATTGTTCCTTCAGTTGGTTTTTTTTCTCTTTTTTCGTTTTTATCGGTACCAGGGATTGAACTCATGACTGCCTGCTTGCAAGGCAGGCGCTTATGCCGCTGAGCCAAATCCCCAGCCCCATGTTCCTTCAGTTTTGTAAAGAAATATTTGGAACCAGCTTTAGCCTCTACTCACATGTTTTTTAATGTATTTATTTTATTTATTTATTTTTAATTTCAAAGAGATTAAAAGAAAATTAAACAATAAAAAACAAAATTATTTAGAATTTCAAAACAAGATATAAGGAATTAACAATGATCACTATATTGCATATTGTCATCTTTGAAATAGTTGCTCCAATTACAAGATACAGGCATGCAAAACAGATAAGCAATCACAGTTTCTTTCCATGAACTAATAGAATTAGTAGTATAATTATCTTAGATATCTTATGTATATATATTTATATATTTCCCTTCCTTTTCTCTCTCTCTCTTTTTAAAGAGGGTAAGATTAAACAGAACAAAACAGATCATAAGGAAAAAATTTTAAGAAACATGGATTTCAAAGCAAGTCCACTGGAGATCTTCACTGTCTATCTTATTGTCTCTAGTTTTCTTCCAAATACTTGTCCCCATCTTCACACACATTGAATACATACCGAACATTATAGAGCTAATCTGATCATACAGGATGATGAAGGCTTTTTAGGTCTTCGAGACCTGATTTTGGGGAAGTCAATAAATGACTGCCATAATGTCTCTCATTCTCTTCGTACCTTTACATTGCTGGAATTGAACATAAGGGACTAGACTAATATGTCTCTGAACAGTGAATAATAGTATTGCTAGATTTTGTATCATAATGCTACAGAATTAGCACTGGGTATCTTATGGTCTCTTCTTCAGAGTATCTGTTCATTACATCATGCATTATGTAATTAATCTGTTCCGATAAACTGTTTAGAAATTCTTCCCATATGTGAATCTCTACATGTATATCTATCCTTTCTGTATTATTGGGAAAAACAGATCATAACAAGACAACAAAACAAATTCCTAGAAAAGCACAAAATGAAAAAGACATATAAAACTACGATATTAGGTGATCTACAGTACTTACTATGCTTTCTCTTGTTGTTTTCAATAGAATTATCCACATTCTCAGACAAAATATAATTGAACATAGCATTACATAGCTATTATAATAAAAACACAACTTTGGAGACATTGTAGGACTTCAAAAGCAGTTAATAATCAAACCGGGATGGGTATCTTATTACATCTTGTCATCTTCAGAGTAGTTGCCTCTACTCTTAGACTTGATATTATCAAGCATACCAAATTTGAATAAAATCAGTCAAGGTAAAACAGCGGTCTTTAAAAAACAGCAGTCTAACAAACCAGCTTCAAATAAGATCAGTCATAGTAAGACAATGTAAGTAATACAGGGCTTCAGTTTAAGTTAATAGAAAAGTAAGGATAGTTACCATGGTATAGCCTGCTATTTTTGGGATAGCTGTCTGTGCCCTCACATCTAGTCTGAGTAGACACATTGGAAGAAAATATCAAACTAAACAGAGCGATACTGATACATTTTTAAGAATGCCCTCTGCCTTCCTTTTTTTAGGCAGTTCCTCACCTTTCCCTTTCTAAGGATGCTTTGTATATTTTGGGTCCCACTAGCTCCGTTAATTTTTAGATTAGGGGGTCAGTCCATTATCTATCTGAGTGGTGCTGAACCTTTTTACCTGAGCTTGATCTTGAGCTGTATTCCTTTACTTACTAAAGCCACGAGGTTTTCCTTCCTTCTAGCTGTGTAGTTCTACACTGCACAAAAGTGTCATAACTTTGCAACCTATCTGCGGCTGCTGGACAAGTTGTCCCTATTTCTCTCTGGTTCCCTGTCACATACAGCATTGTTTTCTCATCTTTGACTTTCAATTTATTAACTCTCTTTCAGGTTGAGTATATTTCCTATTCAGAGCATCTCGATGGATCCTGCCTCCTAATCTACTCTGCCTGTGTTTCTTTTTGTTAGTGTGTCAAGGCTATTTATATTAAAGATTAGAGCCCACCTTCTCTGCCTCATCCCTGCTGTTCTATTTTTCTGCTATTATTTGTCCACTTTTCTCCTTCATTCCACTGTCTGCCCCATTCATTGAGGCCTCCCTGCCACTGTTGCTGGAATCCTGGTATTTTTCCTCTCTCTCTCTAATGTCCTTTAGTATTTTTTGTAGTGTTGGATTGGTGGCCATGAACTCCTTGTCTTGGAAACATCTTGTTTCTCCATTAATTTTGAGAGAGAGTTCTTCAGGGTACATCAATATGGGTTGGAGCTTATTTTCTTTCAGGGCTTGGACTATTTCCCCCCAGGCTCTTCTCGATTTGATAGTTTGTGTTGATAAGTCTGTATTTTGATGATTTTTCCTTTTTGGTGATCTGCTTTTTTTCTCTGGCAGCTTTTTATATTCTGTTCTTGTGGTGGATTTCTGGGATCTTGATTATTATATGTCTGGGTGTAGATCTGTTTTAGTTGTAGTTGATTGGAGTTCTGTATGCCTCATTTATCTGGATATCATTTCTTTTTCCTATGTTTGGGAAGTTTATTTCTGTGAATAGCCTTTGTCTTTTTCGTTTTTTTTTTTTTTTTTTTAAATCGGTACCAGGGATCGAACTCACGACTGCCTGCTTGCAAGGCAGGCGCTTATGCCGCTGAGCTAAATCCCCAGCCCTGTGAATAGCCTTTGTAATTCATTTGTGGTTATTCCTGCTTCTTCGCTCACATTTTTTATTCTTATGTTATAGATCCTCTTGCCCTCTTCTAGCTTTTGAGTTATTACTTCCTGGTTCCTTGTTATTTTTAATAGGTCTTTTCTTTCATGATCACACATTGTAAATCTCTCTTCAAGTTTTGAAAGGCTAACTTTAGTTTCTGTCAAGGCATTTTACCTGATTTCAGTGGAGTTTTTAGTTGCCTGGTAATCTCTTTGGATCTGTTTCATGTATTCTAGATTTT